GTGCATCTGATTATTCAGTTTAAAAAAGAAATAAGCCCATAACCTAACCAATGCGAATAAGAGAATGCCCAAACAACATCTAGGAAAATACCCTCGGAGGTAGTTCATTTATGGTTCATGGAAGGAAAAGCTGTTAACAATAACACCACCTATAATTATGTAAAATGATAAGGTGTACCTTTCAGAATAAGAAAAAAATCAGTCATTCGAATGCTTCTTACTTGTTCATTTCTAAATCTGTCATGGTTTTAGTAGAGGTATTAAGTAAAGGCTGCCCAGAGCTCATTTTTATCGATCAGGATAAAAATTAATGCCGCATACTATCGTAACGTTTTATTCAATGGGCATATTGACATTAAAAAGTGTCGGGCAGTGAATTCTTCCTATTCCAACAAAACTATGCTCCAGCTCACCGAGCCAGAAAAACTATTGATCTGCTTTATAGAGAAACTCCAAATTTCATTTAATCTACTCTTTGCCCCCCCCCCCCAATAGCCCTGATCTCAATACGATCGAGTACAAGGTATGGAACACTCATCAAGAACGTGTTTATCATGTTGACCACCTCAAAATGTGACTTCTGGAGGAATATAATTGTTTTGGTCATTGTGCAATTAATGAATGGTGAGATCATCGCCTTAGAATTTGTATTCAGGCGGGTAATTTGAACATCAGCTTTGAAGAATAACATTTGACTCAAATTTAATTTAATGTTGATGAAAGTTCAATAATAAATAAAAAATAAATTTATATGTTGGGAAAATTCGAATATAGTTTGTCCATAATTTTGGATCCTATTGATAGAATTTTGCTAAGAAAAAATTGGAATCAGTTAAATTGTAACATAGTGTATACGAATAATTTAAATATTTACGTTTATTACTAATTATATAGAAATAAATACATTTTTATAAATATTTTCTAAGAATTTGAATATTTATGTATATAATTCAAGTATTTACGAATAGGTCAACTATTTATCAAAAATTTGAATATTTATGAATAAATCAATAAATATTCACTTACTATTTTTATATTCGAATCCTCTATTGGATGGAAAATGTTCGTATTCATGAATTTGAAATAAAAATTGAATACTATTATTTTTTTAAATAGGCCCAACCAGAACATAGCTATTTAGTTATTATCTTAACTTAACTGCCATACATATGTTTTTTGATATAATATGTAAATACTTTTAACTTATTGATTTCACCAAAAAAATACTTCGAGATTGATATCATATTCCTTACAGAAAAAAAAAATGAAACGTCAGTTTTAAATCAGCTAGGGAACTCAACGTATATTATCAAATTCCTTTTAACAGCAAAACCTTCTTAAATCGAGACTTTAAACCAGGTCAGAGAGATGGAAGTAAAGGCACTTTAAATACTGGACCAAATCTGACTTTTCAAAATTTATAATAATTTTTTTTTTAATTATGGTCGTTTATTAAACTAAGACGAGTTTTATTTTTGGAAATAGCCTTCAAGTGCCAGATTAAAAATGAAAAACTAAGTTGTTTTTTTTAATTAAAAATAATCATATACATATATAGTCTTTCTATAATAATTTTTTTTTGGCTCATAGGCTCATATTGCATTTTTTTTTTAATAAAAAAATTTACAATAAAAAATATATAATTAATTTCTTATAAAAAAAAAGAAGATCATACTATTAAAGAGGGAGAGAGAAAGAGTGTGTAAAATTATGTCAATGTCTGTTTTTTTACTACCATTTCTCTCATTATGAATTTTAGTAAACTAATATATTTTTTCATGAGTAATGTATCCCTGAGACTAGATTGACTCCGCTCTTCTATATAAGCGTATTTCATGAGATTCGAAGGTAGATCAGCGTTAACCATTTTGTCAGAAGCGACTAGGGATGACTTAATGTAACATATCAAATAGGCCAAATTCATAAAAGTTTGATGCAAGAAAAAGGATGTCGATCTCCTCACCTTGGTTTTGTCGTAGCGCATTATTTTTTTCACACCTTTACTATTTACGGCATTAACTTTGTCAGTTTTGGCATTGGAATTGTTTCGATCATTTACTGGAATCGTATTATTATTATTATTATTATCAATAAGATTGTATGGTTTATCTCTAGATTTTATAGGGCTGTGATGAATAAAATGATTCGACAATTCAAATTCGCTGACACTTTCATCCCTCGTTAACATGCTCACTTTCCAAAGAGATTTTAAGGTTACAAAGGCCTTTAATATTGAATACATCATTTCTATTTTCTGTTTTAAAAATAGTATAAATTATTTTACGTAATGTAGAATAATATATGAGCACCATTATCAAAATTTTATGACATACTACATCGACTTAAAGATTGCACAGGTCGTAATATTTAAAATGACAAATATCGACAAACTAAAAGTTAACCAAGGGCATATTTTGGAATTATAGATCGATGGGAAATGATTTCACCTATTGAAATGAAAAAAGTAATAAAAATTATAATCATATTTTAATAAGTGATGAATTTAAAAGGTTTGTGCTTGTCATTGAGTTAGTAATAAAGGTGATGATAGGACAATGATCACTAGATTATACTATGATGAACTGATCTAGAAAGTGAGGTCTACAAAAAAAAGAAGGTTTTAAGCAAATATTGGAAGAGTTTTTTATAGTAGTTAAGGGAAATAATTATCAAGGCTGTTAAACTGTAAGAGTATGTAAAAAAATTCATTCACAATAGATCATAGGAACGGAAATAGGATGGTATGCAGTGTCTACAATAGGAGGGTGGTAGGAACCATTTGCTTCCAATTTTACTAAATGGGGGGGGGGGTAGTAGTAGATATCTATAGGCTGGGTTGGGCAGTGGCGTAAGATTTTGGGGGTTGATACTCCTCCTTGGCTATATTCTGACTATGCCACTGTGGTAGGGTAAAGAAAAAATAAATGCCATTTGTAGATTAGAGACAAATACAACTGGTAGTTCCTAATTTATTAATGATTATTTATTTCGATTATAAGGTTGACTAAATTATAAATAAAATTTTTAGTACAGTTTGAATTTATACATACGGCTATTTTTATATTACATTTAGTATAAATAATGGTCATTTGTTATTTCTATCCTAAATTATGATGTCTGAAAGAGCTTTAATTAGGGTTTTATTGGTATTATGAATTGTTTTGTTATTAATATTATGTAGTTACTATAATATAACGGATTGCCAAATATAGCAACCGAAGAGACCGAAAATATTTTAGATCTGGTAGGGGCATTGTTGGGGGATTGCCCTCAATTTTCAGTCATGTAGACGCTGATGATATCGATATTAAAGGGAAAAATATAAAGATAAGTTCTTTGGTACTTATCAATTGAGAGGAAGGAATTGAAATATGAGTGATAAGCAATGTGAGAGAATGACCAAATTTAAATAATTGGATAGAAATAGATATTAAGAGCAATAAGATCAATAGAATAATGTGTTTGAATAGAATATGTTAAACCAGGTTGAAATAGTTTATCATCAAATGGTGATACTTGTCATAAGAAGAAAAATAGTATGCATAATATAATTTACAATCCATTTAAAATTAGAAAAATTAAAGGAGACTGGGGTTAGTTAAAATCTGGGGTTTGGCAAACCACTTAATCTTATTTTAAAATTAAATAAACTATAAGGTTTAAATTTTTTCCTAATATTTCTTAGTATACATATATAGTCAAAAAATCTTTTGAAATAATTAATTATTAAAAACGATTTTTACATGCAGAATTTTAATTTTTATAAAGTTATATAATCATTCATAATAACTTATATTTTATTAAGTTTTAATCCACTTTTATAATTTGATTAAGTTTTATGGGTATTTACTTTATCTAGATATCATTTTAATCATGATTAGTCAATTTAGAGCTAGCAGGACTTGCTAAACCATGCACTTTAATCCATTTGAATGATATTTTTGTAATTATTACATTATTTGATATGGTGCGAAAATACAAATCCCAAAAAAATACATATGCTCCTTCATTTTATATTAATGATTTTCTAGAAATATACTAAAATTTGATGAATTTATATTATAATGTAATTAAGCTAAAATGAAATATGAAGACTATAAATCAACATGACCACTAGCCAACTAACAAGTAAATGTCAATGCAGTTATCTATCTTATTTCTAAGATAAAATCACAATAATTTTATGTAATTTTTATACAATATAATCAAATTTTTTAGCAAGATTTTGTATTAAAAATCTAAATGATAATGGCAAAAGAAATTAAAATATTATTTTTGTATAATTTAAGCTATAATTAATATAATCTAATATTTTTTTGGCATTTTTATTTTAAGTATTCCTAGATGAAATTTCATGGAGTATTATAAGATATCAATAAACTGGCTCACTAGTGTAGGCCAAAATAATCAAAAGAATATATTCACAGACGAAGAAGAAGGAACCATGGCTAATTATCTAATCCAGACTTACAAAATTTTATGTCTTTCAATTTAAAAGGTATAAATTTTATTATTTTATATTTTGTTTTTTAGATAAAAAATATTAGCCTACCATATGTCAATGAATATCAAAAAAAATATTGGAATGAAATTTTCATGGCTGGGCATTATATTTAATATTATGCTAAGTAATCATAATCTCTCCTTAAGGACGTTATTTTTTATGTCAAAATGTTTATTAAATTAACCAAAATTAAGTTTCAATTTTTATATATAATTAGCTTCAATTTTAAAAATATTGATATTTTGAACAAATAAACTTATTCTATATTTATCATTGTTAATAAATAAAAATGCATTACAATTCATTATAGGCTAAAAACGAATGGTTTAGGCAGCCCCTTGAAGAGGTTTGCCTAACCCCGCTATTGGGGCATGTCGGGTAAAATTTTCACTTACAAAAAATAAAATTTCAAAAATAATCATAAATTTTTTTATAAAATAATCTTTTAGAATGTAGTTATAAATATCTTAAAAAAACATAGGAGTTATAGCCGATTTTACAAAAATAGTTTGACTAGCTCCAGTCTCCCCATATATTCCTTAGATCATATTATTTAATAAATATAAATTAAAAAAATTACTCATATCTAATTGGCAATTCATTTTTTTTAATAAATAAAATCACCTTTTTTGGAGGGTCTTCTGTAAAACGGAAAACGTCATCTAGTTCATATATATGAATTGTATCTACGAAATCGGGAACTGTTATATCTTTTTCCTATATAATATTAACAAACATGAATTGGCGTTGATAGTAAGATTTAGTGATGTGATTAAATTACAAAAGGATTAATTATAAACGGCAAAATTAGCCAATTTTTTGGCATAGGATGTAATATTAATAAATATAAAAGATATGGTTATTAAAATTTCGACAAATTTATTCTCCAGGTCAGAACAAATTTCTATTAATTATACAAGGTTGTTATAGTATCACGATACTGTATAGGTATCGAAGTGGCCGCGATACTTTTTAAAATATTTATATATACCGATATTCTTATCATGATACATTTAATCTATATTAGTTTCGAAAAATTGATATATTTCTGATACTTTTTATTTTTGGCTTAAATTATATATTTTAATACTTAAAGAATTATCGACTTTCCAGATTTCCCAAATATATATATATTTTTACTATACTCTTGTTGTTGGGGAAAATACAATTGATTTATAGGATTTAATACAATATTTAATTGATTTATAAAGGATATATGTACCATACGAATTAAATATATGTAAAATATATATATTACCACATCGTGTAGAGTCATTTCGGCTTCCATCAAGGCATTTTTTACCCTAGCTATTAAACCGCTCATATAAAACAACCATTCATCTTCGGTCATAGGCTTCAATCCGTATTGACATTCTTCAGACTCCGAGGGTATGTGCCTTTTAGATATCCTAAATTATTTAGCGTTTGTAAATAATATAAATAGATTTTTTATAACACTATTAGTCACGGAGAGTAAAAGTGTATAAAAATAGTCAGCAGGGTTCAAAATAAGTTGCTTTTTTTAAAGAATGACTAGAATAATTTACAAAGCGACTTATATGAGTTCATCATTTAGAGGAATTATTTATTTGATAGCGAAGCTTGGGTACTTATTATTGGAGCTATGAAATTTTTTTAAAAAATGAAAAGTATATTACGATCAAGTAGGGGATCACATGAATACATAAAGATTATATAAGTAAAAGTCGCTTTAATAAATACTCTGACTAGTGTTGTTGGTAAACAGCCTCTATTTTGTGATTAACTCATATATTGTATCCAGAAAAGAATGTTACTCAAGCCTGAGATTTTGCTTATAAATGTACAAACCTTTGTGCCATCTATGAGCAAAATGATAAGGCCTGCGTAATATTTTTCTGGATGAAGTATTGATCTAGCCATTCTTAAAAATTCGACTCATTTTGAGCCATTTAACAATCATAATAGCGGGGCCGGGATTATTAATATCATTATGATCAATTGGCTGCTCTTCTAATATGAAATCAATTAAGATTGATTGTATTATTTGTTTTTAAAGGATAGACTAATTTTTACTTATTTCAATTTCAAGGAATATAGGAATAATTTTTTTTTTATAACCTTGGCCTTTAAACAATTTTTATTGCCTGATATCTTTCCATTTTTATAAATACTATATTTAGAATATAAAAATCATTGATGTTTTACCTTATAATATCAACATGTCGTTATAAATGTAAATTATATTACCCGTCATCTTCGTCGTTTTTGACCAAACCTGAACGTTTGAAATAGTAAGAGTTTGATTTTTTGAATGTGAATAAGCACGTTATGTAGAGAAATGCGGTTAAGGAGGGCAAAAAACGATTGTCAAAGCTTAGCATTTTAAGGTTATTTACTACCCACCTATTGGTAACGTGAAATCGGAATAAAATATTAGTTTTTTTAAAAAAACATAAAAATTCTATATAGAATATAAAAATTCTAATGTAATTATATGACCAAATTCAGAAAAATTTAAACGTCTAAATCCGTTTTTTTTAAATATAATTTTCGTAAGCAATAATTTTAGGGTGCAGCGTTCAAAAAACAACATTTATTAAAAGTAAAGTTTAAAAAAAAACAGCAAAATTTGTGGTGTCATCTAATACTGTTCTGCGGTTCAAAAAATCCCAATTTCATAGATTTAAGGTGTTGAAATATATAAATCTTAATGTAGAATTTCTAATTATTTATTAATTGCTAATTGGGATAATCCTAATAAAATATGTATAATCTATAAAATTATATATATGACACTTTTACTTTTTACAAAAATTGAAGGATTGTAATAGAATTTTAAAAAATTGTTTTAAAATTGTATAAAAAACTGTGTATTATATTATAAAGTCATATTATATGAATTGGTAAAATTTTAATATATATATTTACTTTTATTTGGCCATGTCTAACCTAAGGGTCCATTTTTCTTTTCTTTTTTTAACCATAAATATACTAAATCGCTAATATATTGACATGCAAGAACTTAAAAATTTAGTTTCGTTCACAAAAAAAATGTTATGGAAAAAAGATTTTACATTATATTTTTTTTAAAAATAATTGCAATGTATTGTTAAAATAAAAGAATAGGGAGGTTATATTTAACGGCAGATAAGGTTTAACCCTGAATTTTAAAAGATACGATAAAATTACAATTATTAAAAAATGATTAAAATTTATTTTCATCATTTTTATTATTTGCAGACAGGCCCATATTATTATAACATTCTTCTTTGAATTTAAGAAATTTCATAATATTGTAGTTTTCTCATTTAACCCGTTTACTGATTCATATAAAAAGTCTAATTCTTTCTATTCGGTTTACACTGAAATCCTACCGTTGGCAAGTTGACAGGGAGTGATGGATGCCAATTTTTGATATTAAACCTCTGACAATCTAAGGATTTGTCAAGTGAGTTAATACACGAGTCTTAAATTAAAGATATAAAGTGATAATTATTTTTAATTTCCGAATCCTTTAGACTCTTTCCTGTAATGTGTTCTTAATTAGAATGAGGTTAGTTATATTTGTGTGCCTGCCTGATCAAACATTGAATTGTATGATTGATTCTAGGCCCTCTAGCATCATACCTCATAAATAAAACACGTAAATGAGTCTAGTCACTTTGAGATCAGAGATTCAAAATATTCCAAAACAATTGTAAACAGTGATACTTTGACTAAACATAACTCCTCTTCTCTTACTTATGTACATTTTGTTTTTATAACTAAGAATTAAAAAAAAAAATTTAAATCAATTAGTTTATATTCATATATTTATAAAAATATGTCATCTATTTTTGTTAAATATTATATTTATACACTGCAGAATTTTTTGTAAATCTTTGTCCAACAAATCCTCTCTTCTCCTTCTTTTTATCCTTTATAAATATACGTAACTCTTTTTAAAAATTATATATATTTCTTTAAATTTCTATCCATGTCTCCACCTAACCTTCTTTTTGATTGAATTTTATCATTGTAGATTGAATCTTTCATAGTTTTGTTCCAACATTAACCTAAATATTTTGATTGCCATCCACAAAGCCTGATATATTTAAAAAATCAAATCAACCTCAAAACAATTACATAAAGAAAGCAATCTTTCCATAAATATCGGACTTTTAACTTAAGCGGTAATTCTTTATCAAAGTAAAAAGATTTTTTCTTTTTTTCTATATTTCTATTTTTATATTTTAAATATAAATTATATTAAGGTGAAGGTGAGTTTTGTGGCTAGAATGATCGAACTTTGCTAAGTAAACAAAATCAAAAAAAAAATAAAACTTTTAATAAAGTGTTTTCTGTAAAAAAGGGAAAATTTGGTATTTTTGTGAATCATTTCTTATTTTAGTTACATTTGGGAAAATTGCCTTTTGATTACAAAGGTTATATTTTTACTTTAATATATTAGATAATATTATATTAGTTTATGTATATACGATATACGAATTTCATCGTGAATTGAAAAAATATATTTAAAAAAAAATTAAGAGACCTTTTATTAATTGTTAAATAAAAAAAAAGTATATACAATACAAAGGAAAATGTTATTGTTATCATTTATTATATTTAAAAAAATATATATATAATAGTAATTATCAAATTTTCATTTTCAATTTTTGTGATTTAATTTTGCCTTTTTTAAAAAAAAAATTGATAGAAAAAGTGAAATTTCTTTAAATAATATTTCCTATAAAAAAAATGTGAGATTATAATACTTTTAAAATTTTGTTTTTAGATTTATATATTTTCTGTATAAAAATTTTTTTTTTAGACTCCATAATAAACTGTCTTTCCTCGTAAAAAATCCGATATCTTTATTCGCTCATTACTTGCAAATTTACAAGCAGTTAGGTAATTTATATTTTTTTAAATTTATCTAATACGTGTTTTAATTAGGAATGATTAGTAAATTGGGGTGTTTGAAAGTACGGTAAATCTTTTTGTAGCTAAAATGGCTTGATTTTCGCCGATTTTTAAGAATGACAAACTCGATATTTTATCAAGAAAAAGTATTATGCACGCCCGAAGATCTTGCTCATAGATGGAACGAAGGTTTGGACATCCATTAGCGAAATCCCAAGGCCTTAGGCAATATTATTCTAATTAAATTATTGAGTTAGCGGCTTTTAAAAATCGGTTGTTGAGCCGTTTTAACAATCCTAGTAAATTTTATTGAATATATTTTAGTGATTTATAATGTTAAAACTTTAGCGCACCCTAGTTTAAATAATTAGATTATTTACACCTGCATAAAGAAGAAAGAAAAGAAAGAAAAGAAAGAAAATTTAAAAATTTAAATTCGTATTTTACCGGAAATGCTTTCCCATCATGTTTGGAATTATATTGATAAAAAAAAAGACAATTTAAATTTTTTTTTTTTATAAAGATGCTTATTGCAAAACACATTAGCCATAATATGAAGCCGAAAAATATAATTTAATTAATTATTTAGCTAGTATATAATTATATTATAGATTAGATTTAGATTAGAATAATCTTCTTTATTTTGATTTCTACTTTATTATAATGCAAATATAATTTATGAATTTTAAAGGCACAAAAGGGAAAAGATGCAACAATACCCATTATTTCAACACAAATCACCCTTTACCGATACCGAAAGACGTCATTTGGAAAAATCATTGGAAACTTTGAATTTTCGGTTGATGTTGCTGGAAAAATTGCTAATATTCTCGAAAAATAAATACGCAAAGAAAACTGAAAGTATCACACGCGAATTGGCTAGGACGAGATGGGAGTTATCCAAGATGGGAGAGGAAAATAAAATTCTGCTGGGATTGATTATGAAGGGTCTTTTTTATTTGACAAAAACATCATTCAAAAATTATAAAGAAAATAACGACATCGACCTATCCAATCTATTAACACCTAATAGTATTTTTAAAAATCTTGAATTCTCAAATGGATCCCACACCACGAGCGTCACAAGATTTGTACTGGAAAGAAGTGCATCTACCCACTCCTCTTCCTGTAATCAATACGATTGCTACGATGACAATAAATCCGATACGTATTCGAATCCATGCCCTAGCGGATTTTCAGATATCAACATATCTATGGCCAGTCTTCAAATGAATACGGATACCGAGATTCCTGCTGGAAAGCGTAGGCGGGAGAAATTTGTGACAAAATGTATGAGTTCTATATCATTCAGGGTTAGAAAGTCTGGTAAATACGTAGTGACTCGTAGAGAACCTCGTAGCAGTGAGTTGGATAACAATTTGGATAGTAATAGCAAACACACTTTGCTGCTGATTCTGAATAAAATTTTCAAAAAGTTCAAGGAAAAGTGACTATATTTATCTTTCTCAATTTCTGTTATAACGTATAAGTAATATTAATATCAATAGGATAATATTTTTCTATTGTCATTTTATATAAATTACGAAAAAAAGTATATATTGATGTAATATATCCTTCTTTGTTTTCATTAATTAGCTCTCTTAATAAAACTAAAGAAGAGTGTTTTATTTAAAGTTTTTAATTTTTCTTCTTTAAAAAAAGTATATTAAAAATTTTTTTAAAAATTTGAGGTTATATAATACATAATTATTTGTAATCAGGCGCGTACGCAGGAATTTGGTCTGGGGGGGGGGGATAATAAAATTTTTTAAGAAATATTATTGTTAATTAAAAATACCAAGCATAAATTTATTAGGACTAATAACTTTTCTAATACACAATTTTAAACTAATGTGAATTAAAAAAATTATATAAAACCGGCATTGAAAAACTATAAAATAAATGTGAATTATAAAATATAAAGTGAATATAACCCACGATATGAATCACTTAAATGACCTAAAATTGAAATTTGAATTTTTTGAGCTTTTAAAATATATAAAGTATAAAAAATTTAAATGTTGGAAATATAAATTAATACACAAAAAGTTTCTTAGGAATAATTGTATTTTGTATGTTTTGAGCTAATTTTTCAATTATCTATCCTTGCTTGGCGTTAAATGCCTATGAATATTCAAAAGATTCAAATCATTCAATCTACTTTCAGATTTTGTATTTCATAGGTATGTTTTTCACAGACTTGCAGGCCCAGCCCCCGAGCCGGACCGTATTTTAATTTTTTTAAATATACACGGGCGGAGCCCGTAATTTTTTTATAAAAAAACACCCGGGTCGGGCCTGAAAATTTTATTTTCAAAAAAATCCGGGCCGGAAAAAATTTTAAAATAAAATCTGGGCCTGGTCCTGCAAATAGTACCTCTGCAAAGCTCTGTTATTCTTCTTAAAAAAGAGAATGTTCTCTCATTAGTTTACTAAAGAGCTGCTAATATATATAACCATTTTAATACATTGGGAGTATTATCTAAAATGTGTTTGAAATAATGCAAAGCATCCATAGCATTTTTTGGGACTGTATCAACCATTGTTAATCTTTAAATCATAGTTATTCAGCTAATAAGGCATCATAAGATATTTTAACATCTTCATGATAAAAATCTAACAAATATTTATATTTATTTTCTAGCTATGAAAAAGGTTGGGAGAGGGGACATTTGTTTTATAATACTCTTTTACTGATCCTATATTAATGTTTTGACGATGAGCTTGCTTGCTGCAAGTCGAGGGAACAAATATTAAACTCGTATACCTCTGCTTTTGACTCAACAATAACATATAAAATATGAAATTCTTCATCAAATTTCCTTGAGTTCTAATAAAATGCTCTCCGCTATTCTCATCTTCTTAATCAAGTCAATGTTATGTTTTTGAAAAGTATTACATAAAGTTGTATAATTAAATAATACATTCTAATGAGGAAAAAAATTTGGAATAAGTATTGAATCCAATAATTTTGCTTCTGAGGAAATATTTCTTTCAAGCCATTATGATATTTCAGTAATAGCATTAATAATCGGCTCTTCTAACTCCATAAAAGCTGTTACTGCTTGATGGCGGAGACTCGATCTCGTTGGAAAAGCTTGCAATTTCTTTCTCCCTGTTGGACAAGGAGTATCAGAGATAATTGTTATTTAACTAGAAATTTAGATAAATATTACGCCACTAAAATTTTTAAATAACAGGTAAATTACGCCAAGGAAAACTTGAAATCGAAATTAATTGATAAAATAACTTAGTAGATGAATGTGATATATAAATGTAATTAAATTTTTATATATATGAGATAGTAATAAATATTAACAAATATAAATTAATATTAACAACAATATTTTTGAAAAATATAATCCAGCATCTGCATTTTTTGGCTTGGGGGGGGATTTGTCCCCCTGCCCTCCCCTCCCCCCCGCTGCGTACGCCAATGTTTGTAATATGATAATTATTCTTCATTCTACTGATGCCCAATGGCGTATGCAATTCGATAAAACGATTAAGGTTAGGATTAGGGGAGCTATATTCAAAAATAAATTTTGCAGTTACTAGCAGAAGTCGAACTGACCCGTAGAGATTATCTATCTAGATTTCACCCCGGCCCTTAATTTTACTTAGCTCGATCCGTAAAATAAATTTTGCACAAGTTTTCTAACCCGCCTCTAGATAACATTTTACGAAAGAAAAATAATGACAATAATTCCCCCTAATTATCAGCTTTATACCGATTTTCAACCACAATCTACCATTAGTTTTAATGATATAGTTTGTAACAGATTTTAACCAAATCTTTATATCTAGTGTATCAATTGTTCCCTTGAGCCTACACGTCCATATCTTAAGCTCAACTGGTTTTACAATCGTTTTATATCCTATCTTTATCTAGAGAGACATTTTTTTGTAGAATAAAAACGTGTTCGCTTTAAGATAAATAGCAACGAAGAATAAAGATATATAAAAATAATGATAAGATAGAGAGTAAAATAACCTCACTAAATTAATCCTTAATCTAACCTACCTAGAAGTGAGCAAATAAGAGGATACCAAGCCAATCAGTTAAAATAGCCAGAATTAATAACAGTTATTTTAACAAAATATATGGTAGAGTGTTATACATGAATAATGATTATTATAAGGATAGCAAAACGCTCACAAATTTCTGAACAAAATGTCTTACCGGGTTCTATACCGGTCCAAGTTCAGGCATTATAAACAGGGTTTGGTCCTGGAGGTTCCAATAAGTTCGACTAAATTTTTGAAAAAGTGCAAATACGTAAGATATTTACATAAAGCATTACCGCAAGTATATATAGCCAAAAAAAATTTCTAACAAAAATTTTTCACTAAAAAAACATTCATGTATGATGATTTAACAATAGTCATCATTTACTTATTCTATACCATATCACGCGATTGTATCTTATACTATACCTATTTTGATTTATATATTAATTTTACCCAATTTCTAATATGATTCTTTACCCAACAAAACTTTGATATTTAAAAGAATCAACCCAAGACGATCTAATATAAATAAATATATATATAAACACGCTGTTCCAAATTGTGTTGTTAAACGGCTCGTTTTGAGCCGATTTTTAAAAACGGCGAGCTCAATATTTTAGCCTGAAAAATATTGCCTATATTTCGATAATATATGTATAGGCCTTTGTTCCTTCTATGAGCAAAATCTTCGGACTTGCGTAATATTTCTCTGGATGAAGTATTGAGTTAGCCGTTTTTAAAAATCGGCTCAAAATGAGCCGTTTAACAACACTAGTTCCAAATAACTGATACCCTTTTTGTTTTAACAATATCTCCCAATTCAGTAATTCAATAAAATTTCATGGATTGATTGAGGGATAAATTATTAATCAAATTTCATTGAATTCTCTCAGCAAGGTCTAATGTTATACACATTCAAAGTTGGACAAACTAAATTCGAACTTTCCATCATGTAAATATTTATTTTTATTAAACTTTACAATTAGACAAAAACATACACTTAAAAATTAATATGAGTCAATTGTTATACTAGCAATCCATTATCTGCAACTTGTTTTTTCTTATTGAAATTGCAAAACACGTTATCATTTTGCAGATTTACAGGTGGAGTTATTTCAAATAGCTTATCATCCGTGAGTCATATCAAATGTTAACTTCTGTGGGTATCTTATATGCTGTTTGGTACATACCAGTTGGGCAATCTTATTCGTATCGGTTAGATCCTGGATTTGATTCTTTTTTAAACATTTTGGTTGTAGCTCTGTGGATAAGCCGATGCACTGAAGCTTTCGAAATAACAGTTTCTTAGGATACTTGAAAAATTGTTCTGTAAATGGCAGTTCGGTCTTCTTAGCTCAATACGAGCGTTTTAACAGAATCAACATTTCCATAGTATGATATGTGCCTGGTATACCAGCACTATACCATTTCTCTACTAGCATCAATTTTTGCAATCTATCTATTCAAGACTGCAAAGAACAGTTTGTATTAGAATATTCCATCAAAACCCTATTATCTCCGCAATGTTTTTCTAGTCTCAAATTTTGAATTAAACCCAGTTCATCTTTACTGAAAAATCATTTTTTTTTGTTATTATCTGCTTAAGTGTATGGTTTACATGTTATAAAAGTTTGAATTTTGTTTGTTAAAATTTGAAAACCTAATAAATTTTTGACAATTTTTATCATTAACTTTTAAACCCTATGTAATAATTAATGTAAAGGATAATTAAAAGGTTAACCAAAATTTTTCACAGTGTTGGTACTCTACATATGCTGAAATATATTTCCGGCTTTGGATTTTTAAAATGTTAAAATTAAGTGATTTAAAATTTAAAGATTTAGAATCTCAGAGGATCCATATCTCGTTACAACATATATATATATATATACCATGTCTACAACAAGCTTTTATAGTTAATGCCTAGTTCGGTATTCGATATTGCATCCGCGTCAATGGTAATGAATACACAATAAGGTTTTGTTGCTAATTATATTCGCGACAATGTATTCACAGTAATGCATTTGTAATAACGGTTGTATTCGAGCGAATCAAATTAGAGAATAAAAGATAAGGAATAGACATATAGACTAATTGAGAAGAAGAGCTGGATCTAAGATTATAGAATATTGATGAAAAAAGAAAAAAAAATTTTATGAGTTTGGAATGGATCAAATGGAAAATTTATGTAGGAACGGGCAAGAAGAAGAAAGAATTCCTTATATTTATTATTATTAGTTGTGTCTTGCATCTCATATTATTAATTTAAGTTAGCTTTAAAGGGGAGGGGGTCTTTATATATTAACCGTTTTATTTACTTTTCTTACATTATAGTTTTTGAAAATAATACGTACAAAGAAAAAAAACAAATAATTAGACCAGTGATCGAAGATAAGATGATGCTTCACCCACACCATAGAGCAATTTAATATAAAAAAATCAAATTTTATTATACTTTTAAAATATTTTCATATTTGATCACC